AGTTTATTTATTATTGCTAATGTTTGTACGTCGAGATAGAATATAAATGTTTATTCATTATTATGATTTATGTTCTAAGTCATACTGCATCATGTAAGTTTTGAAACGACAATTAATTAATAACAGAAGTCTTTTGCCCAGCAGTCTACTACTCAGTTTCCTTGATTCGTCAGTATTAAAAATAATTATAAAACGCTTTTATGGTAGTAAATTATTATTCATTACAAAAATTTTAAAAAGACTCATTAGTTCTTATTAAAATGATACGATTTTGTGTATATCAATGTAATCCAAGGGCGGATCGAACTTTGGTGCCAGGGGGGGGTCACGTAGTCGTGGTTAATTTTTATAATCATAGATACAACTTAAAAGTAGGTATTTTTAAACGACTTCAAAAAGAAGGAGGTTATCAATTCGGATGTTTATATATTTTTTTGTATGTTCGGGCATAACTTCGCCATATATAGACGGATTTGCAAAATTCTTTTTTTGTTCGTAATAATTCGTTGCTTTTTATTATCATATATTATACAGGTTGGCTTATTTCAAGATGCCCAAATTCACACAGGAGGTTCAGACTCGGTAGTATAATCGTTTATTGAAATAAAAACAAACTTATTTTTTCTTCAAAAAAATTTACTTTTGAAACGAACTTTTGTGCGTAAAATAAATGAGTTGCCCATAAATCACGCACTTTTTAAGATAAGTTCAAATGAATGATACGAGTGATTTTAAATATTTATCATGTTTATATAACTTTATTTATGTGTTTTATGTAGTTATTAAAAATGGATACACTTAGAAAAGCCTCTCTGTATAGTACTTAAAAAAGTAGCTATTGGTAGGCTTACTTATTGTTGAAATTTCTTTTTATTTATTTCTTCGTTATCAGATTTTATGTAGTCGTATTGGTTATAATATTTGTATATATAAAAAATATTAAAGTTAAAAGAAATACACAATTTTTTTTTCAAACACTCTAATTAAGTAAAAAAGAAATAAAATTTGTAACATCCTACACAACTACAACTGACTGATCCATACATTTATACATTGACCTTTACAAATGAACATTACGTTACAGTTTTATACGTTAGGGTGTTCTAAAATTTGTTTTAGAGAATTTAATAACTCGGCAAATATTGATGTTTATAGAATGTAATTTTTTAATACAATTTTAAAAAGTTATCCTCTATATGTGTGTTCATTTATTGTCGCGATTGTAAAGACATGTTGTATAATCAACCCAAATGAAAACTCCTAAAATAGCCGTACATAAACTAAAAATTTCGTCGTCCACGTTAAAAAAATGATCATAAATAACAAAAAAATATTTATTCGGTCATTCATTCATTCATTCATAATATTCAGTGCTTATCCATCTAATCCATCTTATCACAGACAGAATCCACATTCATAACAAACGGAAAGAACAAACTTTATTTCCCAAAGATGGGGTCGCATACTCACGTGCACTAAACCACCACTTCTCACCACCCATCAAAAACGGTCCATCCATTAAGACTAGCACTAAAGATCTCTTCATGGCGAATCAAACGAGCCGAGACACAATAGGGTTGCGTCGTTTGTTTACTGAGTTCATATGACTATCTTCCAGCTCCATCTTCAGATCAGACCCTGGTAACCATCTAAAAATTAAGTACTCGCCAAGACGAATCAAACGAGCTGCAACTAGATGGGGTTGAGTCGTTTCATTACAGAGTGATCATAGGAACCTCACATAATAGACCTCACAGAAGATTGGCGTAAAGTACTTCTGCGTTTTGTCTGGTGAGTGAGGTAGCCGCAGGCCACTTTATTGTAAGGAGAAAACGCATCTGCAACCCTATGCATATGTCTATGGACGGCTGAAGACGGAGCTCCATCATAAGATCCTGGTTACCTATGAAATTAATTAATTTGTTTATTTATTTATCTGAGTAAAAGATAAACTACTCGTTAATACGATTCAAATACCCAAACGCGATGAGGCTCTGTCGTTTCATTACGAAGTTCCTTTGCCACCTTCGAGCTCCATCGTCAGATCAGCACCATATCATAAAAATATTGCATTGTCTCGCGATTTACACTTGTATACAAAATTTCAGCTCAACCGGTAACCGGGAAGTAGATCAAATTGAATTTGCAAGATTTGACGACAAACATTAAAATATTGTAAAAATGTTCATAAAATGAAAACTACTTGGCCAAACTATGGTAAATTTTTATACTATGGTAAATGGCAACAATTTTACATCGAACTAAAGAAGAATCACGTAAATCGGATCATTAATCTCAACGTAATCGGTGTAAATACATCGAAAAAAAAATATATAAGAAACTCCTTCTTTTGAAGTCGGTTAAAAATATTATATTAATATTAATGGTACTTACATAAAATCTATATTGTGGCAAAAAATATATAAAAATATTATGTTTAACAATTTTAATCAGTGGTCCACCTAGGTCCTGGACCCAGCCCAGGTCATGACCCCCATGACCCCCCCCCCCCCCCCCCCCTAGATCCGCCCTTGATGTAATCTCATTGAAAATATCTGCTAAATAAGTTTTAAGACTGAAATAATTCATATTGAAAAATAATACGTTACATAATAATAATACGTTTATAATACATTATTTTATACTTAATAAATTATTATGTTATTATTATATATATGGTATAAAATAACATATTATTTGTATTTCAATACTCTTGTGTAATTAAACATAAAAACTATAATTTTATTGTTAAATAGGATTGCGTAATATGAGTGACCTTATTCCGAGTGAGCGGAATAAGGTCATATATGTGGAGTGAAGATGTTAGGGCTGTGCTTCGTTAGTCCATGAGGGTGTATAACTGTGCTCAGATGATGATGATGATGATGATAACATGAAGCAAATGCAGTATATATTTTGCGGTTTCGTTTTTGAATAAACGAACCGCAAAATATATTTTAACTTTTGGTTTTGATCCTGGAACGAAATTCTACCACATCTTGGGTTTTTAACTGGGGAATCGAATAATATACAAAAAGTACAAGCGAATGCTTCCCCCCTTTTCGATATTTGAAAACAAATAAATTGGCAAACATTTAGTTAATCGATTATCATATCCAAACAGATATTCAATTTAGTTACTGGCCATGCTTCAGATATTTCTTACGATATCACACTAATTTCTTGCAGCAACTTAGGTGCGGCAAACTGCAGGTGTCTTATCATCAGACATATCAACGTCTCTCCATTAGTTCACTGCATAGACCATAGATCTGATAACGTGAACACTTCTATAACAGTTAAGACTTGCAGAGACATTTAAAACAAAACGTTTAACATTAAGTTCTCTTCAAAATGATCTATCATAATGTGGGGTACATTAGTATACCCTTTTTGTTCTTAAACTTAAAAAGACTTAAAAGAATCTTATCCCTTTTAGAACATTTTACTCATCCACAATACTGTTTCAGTCGATACTTCTTAGACGCCAGAGTGAACAGACCTTTTCTCAGCTAGTTCCTTTGCTTGTTATACACCTTCGAACTATACTAGCTGGAATTGGTTGACAGGGCACTTGTAATTAAGATCGATTTACAAATCAAGTTTTTGGAGAAGTAGAGATTTTTATTTTTTGGCGCAAGTGCACACCTCTTAACACCCGCGGGTTACTTAGCTCGTCACTTGCTGTAGAGTAAACAGTCAAATTAGTACAGTGGCCGGCAACTGGCAACAAAATTGCACGTATTGCTCGTCCGTTTCGACAGAAAAATACCAGTGTACTTACTTGCTGTAGTGTCAACCACTTGTCCGGTGCCCGCCACCGGTCTTTGTACTCGCCACATTCTCGCTTTAAGGAATCTATTTCACGCAAGTTGATTTACGCACATAAAATGCTATTGAAGTTTATAAATTGTTATTTATTTGCTCGCATATTTAATACAACAAGTACCTAGAGGACCGAACGATGCTCAGTTTTTGTTTTGGTAAATCGTGTATTTGAGAAATAAAAAATAAAGTAAGTAATGATCTGGTATAGAAAAAAGAAATAAGTGTGTGAAATTAAACCTAGCTAGATCGATTTTTCGCCCCCAAATCTACGCACATACTAAATTTCATGAAAAGCGTTGGAGCCGATTCCGAGATTCTTGTGCATATATATATATATATGACTTGCTCGTTTAAAGGTATTAGATGTAAATAACAATTCAACGCTAAGACCTACAAACTTTGTTAACTTTGTAACTAACTTTTTAAGACGTAGGTTCAACTTTTATCGAGCTATAACTTCATTATCTCGAAATTAATCTCTACCTTTCTGTGACTTAAATGTTAAAGCAACCACAATCGATACTTGTAGGAGGAAGCATTAAGAAAAATCGTGATATTTTGTTCTCAAGTACTTTGATATTACCTACGTATGTTGTTTTATACCTGCATTAAATTTTACAGCAATATTATATTACAGCCGTATCATAGTATCATACTATTTATGTTATGGTAATAAAACTTTATTCATATACATGCTGCATATTGAATAAATTATCTTCATTTCGTCCATAAAATCAATTTTTAAATCTCGCGTTAAAGTGTTCGTGGTGTAATTTGTGTGGTATAATTTGAATATATTGTATGTAATAAACAAAATATTTTGTTTTTTGGTTTTCCGTTCTAAAAATCCTTTCCGTCCATTCGCTAAGATGTAAAAGTAAAAAAAAACTAAAAACATATTTAGGTTTTCCTTCGTCCCTCAATCCCATAAATCTTTATTTAAATTTATGTATCCAAAATTTTATAGAGTTTTATATGCACTAATTCACTAAGTTCACTAAGTTTTGTTTTATATGCACTTATTCGTAACAAAATGTAGCTAAAAATAATATGATCTCTTTGGTTGCAGGTAAAAACGAGAAAACGGGTTTACATGTTTTGAGATATCATCACTCGGTGATGCTCATTAACTTAATTCTGAGATAAATAAAGTTATTGTGCCAAATATTAAGATGTCGACGGAGAGAGCAGAAACCCAAGAGTACATAAACGGGATGAGACCTGGACCCCTGACGAGGGAGATTCCCGAGTGCATGAGGGACAAATACACCATAGTGCAAGCTGTCCTGGACGTCATAGCGTTTTGGATTCTCGTAACAGGATACGTCATTATGGGAATATACAGGTCGATAGTTGGATACCCGAAGAAGGAGCTTAAAGACAGCATAGCGGTCGTTACTGGCGGCGGCGGAGGCCTGGGCAGCTTGGTAGCTCTGAGGCTGGCAAGACTCGGCTGCACTGTGGTCTTATGGGATATCAATAAGCAAGGTCAGAACTCTCAAATATTTCCTGCACGCGCTTTAAATAACTGAACCTTAGAGCAATAACGTGATATAAATAATTACTTAATGATTGCACCTATAGTTCATAGATAAGTGGACGTAACCTTATGTATCTTTATGCCGTAAATGCAAATTCAGACAAGATAATCACCGTTATTATATGCCTGTCATTCAAAGCTGAATAAATAATTAAACAAAAAAGAGTAATAAATAATTATTTTATCAATATATGTTTCATTAAACAAAAAAGGCACGACAAAATAACATTAAAAAAAATGAATGCAATATAATATAATAACATACTGCGTTTCTATAATTTTGTAACCGCACTAATAAATTATATTAGAGTTTCAAATGCAAGTTGTATGCTAGGATTTGTCTAAAGTTATTTTCCCACTTCAATTCTATTTTTAGAGATATAACAATCACAATTGTTATTTTTTGTACATTGACTCACGGTTTTACATTTGTTTTATGTAGACACCACGAACGGATAACAAAAAAGTTATAGCGAGTCACGTCGCTTTATAATTTTATATAATGTCAACATAAAGAAATTCAACAATGAATTGCTGAGATTTTATTGTTATTACAAGTTTAATAATAAAGAAAACATAAAGACATTTTTCCCTTTATTTTATTAATTTAAATAAAACATCGTAAATTAAGTTTAGATTCTTCTACCATTGTTGCACGCCGTGATGGGGGTTCGATCCCTAAACGAACGAAAAATTTATTTGTTTCATAAATACATCTTCAGATTTCGGGGAGTCTGGGAATTGATTGCAAACCTCTTGCGGCATGTCAATCATTTCCTGGAGCGAGTGTTATGGTTTTTCTTCATTCTGTTATTACGTCTAAGTTAGCATAATATTACCAGATGTCAGTCCAAAAGATGACAGATCAGCAAAAAATTATAATGAACAAAAGGAATTTAGGTAAAAATTAACAACTTGCAACACATGTTGCGCGACTTTGTGATAGATTCTGTTGCATCGTCACCCCACGACGCCATGTTTTTAGTGTTGCTGTGGAAATAATTACGCCACGTTTCAAGATTCCCCGCGTATACTTTACGGTGCATGAAGACATAAATAGTGGTATTCGTTTCCTAATCGCTAGCTGATATTGTTCACGTTAGAGCAGTGTACACAGCTGAAATGTTGTGCCGATGTTCCCGGAATGGCGATGTTAACATTGAGTGGTATTTATATGTTCATTGTTAAAGAAACGGTTTTCTTTACTACAAATATCGCAAAACATTCGTATGTCGATCTGGAATATGTTTTATCGCTCATGGTAAGTAAGTTGTTAAGACGACTGTTACATTATAATAACAATATTTTATTCGAATAAAATATTGAGTTCCAAGATTTACGAAAATGGCTGATTTTATACTAATTACTAGCTGCTGCCCGCGACTACGTCTGCGTAGAGGGGTGAAAATTTAGGGATGTATGTATTTTTGTATGCTGTGTCATAAAAAAATAGAAACAAAAGTTTTATATAAAAAATAAAAAAAAATTTAGAGGTGGACTACCCTCTTAACATTTAGGGGGACGAAAAATAGATAGTAGCCGATTCTCAGACCTACTGAATACGCATATAAAATTTGGTAAAAATCGGTCGAGCCGTTTCGGAGGAGTTCAAGTTCGAACCCCGTGACACGAGAATTTTATATATTACACTTTTTTTCAAAAGATTTGAAACAACAATTAACAAAGCCATAGAGTTTTTGCTGATTCTATCCTTGTCTGGGCTAAAGTAAATCAGTGATAGTTTTAGCGTAAAGGTTCGTAAAAGCTTGAATGAATTAAACCTAAATGGAATATGTAGGCTTTGAATAAACATTAGAAGTTGTTATTTAATCTGTTGCAAGGTAATCAAATGTTTACCCTCGATTGTAGAGCTGATGAAATAAAGCCTGACAAGTGTTCCTAATCTCTATTATAAGGTCAAAGTTTGTTTTGAAACAGTAACGCTAACATTGTCTTGTAGAACATATGTTACCATTGCATTTTATTATTAAATTATAAAAATACTATCATGACCGTAATAATTGCTATCTATATCCATCCCCGACGTGATAGCTCATGAGGAACTTTTGTCGGCAGATTATCTATTCGTTAGCGCAATAAGCGATTCAATAAATTACGGAAGTGCGTTTCTGAACCACGCCACGTAAGATAAACTCTATTTAAACTTAGGTTAATTATACTGACCAATGAGTGCCGTTCATGAGAAAAAAACTATTTTGTTGCCAAAAAGCATGAATTAGGTATTTCGTTATGTCGGCATAACCGTAAAACGCGGGATATCATAGCTAAAGATTGGATGCCCGATATGCGACCAGCAATTTATCATGAATCTCCTGTAGATTCTGATATAGATGCTGCCTTAGGATGTATATAATTAGATGAATAAATTTACTTTAAAATTACTATACTTTTGTTTTTTAATAATGTAGACCCAATTTTGATCTATTATAAAATAACCTGTATAACTCTCTAAATCGATTCAATCAATACTTTGACAAACCTAGTGGTATTAGTTTGATAACTGTCATTCTAATCCAGCTATATTTAATGAAAGTACTAAAAATTTAAAGTTATATTGCATCATATACAGCATGTCTTTACCATCGCGACAATAAATGAACACACGTCTAACGCTACTTGCCAATAATCATAAAAAAATATTAACGTTAAAAAAAGCCTTATTAAAAAAAATCTTTTTCAAACAAAATAATTAAGTAAAAAAGAAACAAAATTTGTAACATGCGATACATACAACTGACTGATTCATACATTCAGAGACTTTTTCATTCGTTGCCACAGCGTCGCATTACAAATCTCTCCTTCTCACAGTATGTTTTGTCTCTTTTAAATTCATTCAACCCATTCATAAGCTTTGTGACCTTTACAAATGAGCTTTACGTTACAGTTTTATACGTAAGGCTGTTCTAAAATTCTTTGTTTTGGAAAATTTAATAACTCTGTAAATATTGATGTTTAAAGAAAGTAAATATTTAATACAATTTTAGAAAGTTATCCTCCATATGTGTGTTCATTTATTGATTTTTTATTTATTTAGATACAAATTACTGAGTAATGAAATATCAAAATCATCTGGATGGACAAAAAATAAAAAATAAAGAAAGCAACTATCTGGATTCCAAAAAGAAGTAAAAAATAAGTATGTAAATGATCGTGACACGAACCACGGCCTTCTGTTTCGGGGCCGCCTGATTACCTACCGACCGAGCTATTAAAAAGCGAAAACTACCGTCCTATTCGAATTATATCTTTCATTCCCTGGAGGACTTTCAAATCTCTGGAGCCGTTGCCGAGATTCCGTATATATATATATATATATATATATATATATATACAAGAATTGATCGTTTAAAGGATAAGATTTAGTTTACTGTATTTTATGTGTAATTATGTGCCCGTGTAATATAAATATAAATAGTTATTTATATTCCGGTTTTATGTCCAATATTTCGACTATATATGAGATGCCGATTTCAACGCTAAGTAAAAGAATAAAAGACACTACTTTATATTGTATGTACTGTTACTTTCGCATACTCTGTACTAATTCCACAAAACCCTTGGTGGTCTATAGGTCATTTACATGAACGTTCCTTCACGACTAAAAGAAGAGGCAAATAATCTTTACAAACACTTTGTGTTAAATGGTAAATTTTTACATGTATAGCTTGCTATAAAAAGTAATTTATTCTTACGATTGATTTTGCATGAACAAACGTGAAAGCGTGCTTGTTGACTGCCGTTTTATGGTTTTGCGGCATAAACTATTACATTAGTGTACGACGCAATACGATAAAAAACCCCAAGTAAAATAAATGCAACAATAAAATTAAAATAGAACAACATTTCTGAATAATTATTTTTTATCTGTGCTGCGATCTATGATTCCAGAAGTTCAGGCGCGAAATATTTACCTGCGCAATCATCTTAAATGTGTTCGAGAACATATTTTACTATCATTTTGGCTTTATTTACTTACTTACATTATAATGCGAGAAATATAAGTCTATTTTAATCTGTAATTTAATAATATATTAAAATACGCTTATGTTTACCAAATATGTCATGTCGCATGTCTCATGTTTCACAGTAAGTTATTAAATATTGAGTCTATAATTAATTTACGTTGTTCAAAATAATAGCAGAGGTTTGGCTATGTCTTTAAATGCACACGTGATAACATATGATTACATACATAGTTACGTCAACGTTTATTGAGTGCTGAGTTTTTAAAATAAATGCGTGGTTGATATTGTAAATTTGTTCCATTTAAAGCGAGCGTTAGTAAAGTTTCATGTTCTACTTAATGCGATGCAAAAGTACTTTACACATATTAATTAATATTCGCTTTTGCTCTGTTCTTGACAGTGTCCGTCCGGTTAAGTACCACGACCTCACAGAAGATCGGCGTGAAGAATTTAGAATTGTTACATTTCTGCGTTTCGTCTGGTGAATAAGGTAGCCGGGGCCCACTTTATGAAAATATGGTAACTTATCTGCAACCCATTTGGGTGTTGCAAATGTCCATAGGCGGCAGTTACCACTTAACATCGGATGAACCACCCGCTCGTTTGCCACTTTCTTACATAAAAAATCTCAGGATAATAGCCTCTTCAGTCTACGAACAAAATGTTTTGTTTATACACGACACGTGCATTTCTATATACATTAAAGTTGCACAATTAATGTTCTAAAATCATTCTGTATTTTTATTAATATACGATTGCCCTAATTCATATCGTATTCAGGTTAATCGTTTAATAATGAAACGCTATTAAAACCCTTCATTACTGTCGCAGTATTAATATTGCCGCAGTTGTAATAATTGATATAGATAATTTTTTTCACCTTCCTAACGATTAAACGGCGTATACCACTAACAAAAAACGTATACCACTTCCCTTTAATCAAAGAAGAAAATGATAAAGTT